TAAGAATAGCATTACCGAAAATAGCGAAGTTTGCAAAAGAAGGTCTGGATGGTATTTCGAAAACTTAAAACAAAGTGCTGTAAATTAAGTCACACAAAATATCAAATATACGAACCTTCACCATCAAATGTCTTTCCTGGTCCTCCAGTGTTGGAGACATTAAAAGAGGTAATATTTGATTAAAAAGCGCTCCAGCTCCAAAACGTCTTGCATTTTCTGTGATCTTACGCAATCCTGATTTCCGCTGTGGAGGTGTTCCATTTTTGATTTTTAAAAGATAAGTCATGATTTCACGCTCAATCAACTCCTCTTTGCTTAATGTGCTTTCGTCTACTTCCATCAAAAGCTTATCAAAATATTGAATATCTTCCGGTTTTAATGGTGGCAATTCTGCATTTTTTGGTTGAGTATCAATTAACCCAGCCACACCTGAAACAGGAGTGTTTTCAACCTATATCTGCAGTAGTTCCATCTCTTTTCGAGATGAATAAAATTGTATAAGATTAATTTCATGAGTGAATTGAAAAATTATATTTCGGCCGAAATAAACAACCAGAGGTTCAGCTGAAAGAAAAAATTGAAACCTCTGAATTTTCAACTTTCTGAAAAGTCACAACATTACAAGACACAAACGATACCTTTATCAGCCAAACCAGGTCGTTCAGGTGTTCCTTGCATGATGAATCCCATTGGCGTTCCTGTTGCTCCCATTGGAGTAGGTGTTGCTAAAAGCTTACGACCTGGAGTTCGAAGTGGTATATAACCAGTCGGTGGTGGCAACACCTTGTATCCTGGTGGAAACAATGCATCCAGTTCTTCATCGGATAAAGGCCTCAAATTACTTTCCTTTCAGTTATAAAAATGACAAAGATCCCTCAATTTACAGCATATTTCTTGGTATTACAATAAATCAAAGGATAAATGAAATTATAACTGGAAATATCGCTATTGCCTACTCTGTCAGCAAAATCAACATTCAGTTCTACTCCGCAACAGATTTATTTAGGTCCAACTGAAAGTTTCACTATTCTAAACAATAAACCTTCTTCATACCAATGCCCTGAATGGAGCATGTCATTTGCCTGTCATTTTCTCCTTATCTCGGTCAGCATTAAAGCGATTCTAACATCCCTCATCTACTCTTTTCGACTGAACAGTGTTTACGATAAGGTAATATTTTATACATGAAATGATTACCTGTTCCTTTCATCAATCTCTCTTTCCCACTTGAAAAGTGCCATTTGATCTGGTGTCATCGGTACCATTGGCATAATTGGAGTTTTAAGGCCCATTGCAGGTGTACCAATAGGTGTTGTTCCGCCAGGTGTCATCATTGATGGCGTCATCCCTGCTCCGCTTGGCGTGAAACCTGATGGTGTTGCACCGCCAGCCATATGTGTACTTGATGGCGTTGCGGTTGCGGCGACCGGTGTCGCAGCAGATGGAGTCAAGTCCCAACGCGACCGACGTTTTGATTCACCTGGTGTTTCCTCAATCTGCAAATACTACGTATAGCATTCTTTAATACAGAATATATTCCGACATTACATAGAATATACGCTAATTGTACGTAGATGAGCCAAAATTAGCTCACATATAAATTAAAAGATCATAAAATAGTAATGTCACTAAAGAAAAGACTATTATCGTGAATAAAAAAGTTACTTTGACATCTTCAAATGCACGAGCGTCACGGGGAGTCTCGGCTCCCCAACCCGGAGTCATCCCCTCTCTTGCTGACGGCGTCATTCCATCACGCACAGATTCTGCAAATAATATGTTTCTACTATCGGTTTCTGAATAAAATGATATATTCTTATAAATTCAAATGAAATTGTTCCTATAGGATAAGAACTGTAAAATAGGAGACCGTGTGGAGTTTCGTCCCAACGATTTCGACGAGGCGTCTGAGTTGACGGGGTCGCATCCCATGTTTTTGCTCCAGAAGTAGGAGTTGCATCAACCCCTGCAGCATGAGCTGGTGTTTCATCCCAGCGAGCAACACGTGGAGTTGCAACCTAAAATAGTTCATTACTTTATCTACATTTCCCAACATGCTGCATGAACTTGAAGATTCGTTAATGCTTACTTCTGCAGCAGCAGCTGATATGTTCGATGTAAGGGTCAACCGTTTCCGTTGGGTGGAACCAGGTGTTTGAGAAGGTGTTAGGGATCCCGCGCCGAGCGCCTCGATTTTTGGCGTTTCATCCCAACGTCCTCTTTTCTGTGCTGGAGCAGCTGGTTTCGTAATTTTTAATTCACCAGATTTTGCTTTATCACTCAGTTCCTTCTCCACTTTATCCTGCAAAATCGCAGAATGGAAATTTTAATGCATGTTTGCAGTAAATCATGACAGATATATTTCTAAATAAACAGAATAGTTTCTTCCCTTTTTTCTGTTCTTGAACTTTAATATAATAGTACAATAACAAACCGTTTCTTCACGTAACATCTGTTCCTTCATGATCTGTGCATAAGAACGATCTCGAACATCAGGTGTCTGATCAGCTGAAAAACACGGCCGGAATAAACAAGTGAAAAAGAGAACTAGATAAGATTCGTCACATCCTCTTACTTACGACTTCCCTGTTCTAGGAAATATATTACCGGAAAATGAAAACAATACCTGAGTGAGTTCTGAGTTTTAGAATATCCATATTTTTATTAAATAATTAAAACTAAGAGATCGTAGAAATCACCAACCAAACATATCTGCTCGTTCAGGAGAAATTTGTCGTTGACGAGCTCTTGCTTGGTAATTACTCTGCCTTTCAGCAATTGTTTTTGTTCTTGTTTCCGCAAAAGGGTCGTCTCCCTGCATAACGACAAAAAAAATATAAAAATGAAAAAGTAAAAACAATCAAAAGCTTACTGAAGATTCTAAATAACAGTACCTGTCCATGTCTTGCAGCTTCCTCTACAAAACGCTTCGGAGCAGAATACGCTGCCTTAGCAGCAGCCATTGGGCCAACCAGCTCATCTTCCGCATCTTCCTCTTCATCGCCTGCATTTATTGATGTTAAATAATCATTTTTACGTTGTCCTCGAACGCTTCCGTAAACGTCCTAAAAAATTGCATTAACTCATCACATATTCTACGGTCATTGATGTGTTAACGACATGAATATTTAAGACGAAAACGTTTATAATAAAAATTTGTGGGCAAACCAAATACTACCATTCTAATCTTGTTTGCCCTACAATACTTTTTGAATATAGAACTCATGAGAACAACTTGCCGTATCATAACCACCCGCTGATCCAAATGCAATCTTATCAAAACTATTTCCATTTCCCAATGCATTTTCACTGTTTTCATTATCTTCTTCAAGATGCCGTTTTCGTGTCACAATTTGCGTCTCGACACCTGAAAACTTGAAACTATGTTAAATTCAAACAAATGCATTTTTATTTTAGTTCAATACTGAAAATGTACACTCCCATACCATTACAAAGGTATTTTAAACACTGATCTGTGATGTTAGAGAATCAATCAAAAGTACATAAATGTAAGCAGTTGAAAACCTCCTTCATCATTTCTTTCAATATTAATCTTGCAAGTACGTTATGAACAAATAAAAAGGATGTTTGAATACTATTATTAAGCGATGAATGCTGTACTATTTTACAAAGTTTATGGTAAAGGCACTGTCACTGTTTTCTGCTGTAATGTCCTTATCTACAGCACTTGATTTATAATGCCAACAAGGTATATTATCCTCAAGATTACTGCGCATAAGAGGATGGTTCAGAAGTAATACGTCCTAGTCAACAGTCCCTGTCCAGATCAAAGTTATACCCTGATCATAGAGCGAATATTTTTAACAGCTTGTTTCAAATATTAAATTAACCTTTGTTGGACATTCCGTAGGAATCCCTCAAATCTCCTTAACACAATTTTCTTTTCTTTGGATCAATATTCTTTCCTACAAAGAAAATCCATAAATTAACTGAAAAATTTCATCGGACGTTATTATTGATTTTCGAATGCTGATATCGTTCACATCGCTGCTGGCCGAATAATGAAGAAAATGAGAAAGAACAAGGTGACACTAGGAAAGAAAAAAAATAGTACAAGCTCCTTCTCCCATAAAAGGAACCAATATATCTCTCTTCTCCTGCTTACATGGAACGCGTGGATGTGTGCTACTTATCTACTCTAAACGCGTAAACGTGTATTACATTTTCTGTCTGCGTACAGAGAACGCAACAGTCCACCATATACCAACAACCGGCCTCACACACGTAGACAACCATCCGGCAGAATATGAAAGTCTGCCAAATCTGCAATTCGCTGAGCATACCGCAAGAAAGATTTCCCTCTAGGACAATATTCAACTACTGTAGCTCAAGATACCGACTCATCTCCGGCACTCACCGTGGAGTGATGAATCCAATTCCTGTTGGGTTAAGCCGCATGATTTGTTGAGTTAGACATACACACAGCGCGACAATAAAAATAAACCAAGAACAGCGCAGAGGCAAAAATTAATGCAGCAACTAGTTTTGAACAAAACGTTCAAGACCCAACGCCCTGCTAGGTAGATTTATCTTTCCGGTAATTGTTACCTCTTCTGTGTCGCACTTCACTACTCATACTTTAATATGGTGCGGAGGTATCCATTCTTCCCTATATATTCATCCCATCCATGCTTTTTCCCTTCCTTCCTTTCCAAATATTTCAATTATTTTAATACGTTAAGTATGACAGCATGAAATATAAGCTCCTTCCCACAAACCACCACTACGGTGAAAATTCAACATTTGCATAGCTAAAAAAACTAAGCTATGCTAGCATCGGTAAGGACTGGATAGTAAAAGAAGGAGTATGTGACAAAATTGCCTGTCAATAACCGTATGAGCAAAACGACTGATTTATTGGAAAAAATCTATTCAATTTGTATTCAAACAGTAATAACTAACTGCAAACAATAATCAAATGGCAATAATGCTGTAAAAGACACTACTGTAGCACAACGACAACAATCACAAGTAATTTTTCAGGATGAAATATTATCGCCTTGAAGTTCTGCAACTACCTGGTCACGATCTTCTTTTTTTGGTAGGCGAAATAAATACGTTGACGGTGATCCACCTGACACACAACTTATCTGAAAGTATTATTATCCTTAAAAAAATGTAAATATTTCCAACTCACTAACTTCACTCCATCTCTTGGTGCCAGATGCGATGAATAGGAAACTCACCGGAGGATCCTACAATGAGCGGAATAGACTTTTTTATTTTACGCTATTCATGATAAATAGTGATAATCTATTCCGTCCTCATATACTTATATATTTTTCTTTTTTCCTATTCTGAATTCAGACTGCGGCCACAGCTCCGTATACGAAAATGAAATCCAATTTATATAGCTTGAAACGTAACATTGTTTGTTCCTTATTTATAGTAGTGCTTTCTTTCGTAACTGGCATAGCGAATTCTTCAACAAAGAAAATGTAATTTAAAAAGAAAAAAAACGGCTATCTTGAACACATACCCTTAATTTGACATCCCCAATAGTCACATGCTTCATTGATTTGTCGACATATGAATTTACCCACACAGTACCTGAGGAAATATTTAATCTCATCATAAACATCTTTAGCATAATCATTTTAAAAATAGAAATAGCAGCATAAGAGGCATCTGCATGTCGATATAGCTCTCAACCTTTCTGTCTGGGCTGAAGATGATGAGTACAATTCCACCTAATCTATACATTAATTACGTTATTGCGGCTGATCGACTCCTTAGTCAAATCGGACTTACCACGCGATTATTATATAAGCTATTACTAGGATACCTAGCCTTTGCTATCGCTTTTAGATCATATATTTAAAAAATTGAAAATACCGTTTTCATATTCATCATTTACAAGCATTCAAACAAAATCTTTAGTGGTTACTAATAAATTACCAGTGGTAGTGGCAGCACGGACGAGTAAAATTTTCTTTGTACTATCAGTTTCATCGGTTTTGATATGAAGCTGGCCAATTCCAAGTTTTTCATATTCCGTTCCTTTCAGCACAAATGCCGAACACCTACAATATATGTGTGTGGTATGACTCAGGCAGTTATAAGACTTATTGATAACGCTTAGTTATAAGACTTTTTGAGATAACGCTTACTTCGACGAGAATATCGCTTTCGGCTCTTCCACCAACACAGCTTCTGGTTTTGGTGGGACATATTCACTCTCTTCACCTAGAAAATATTGACTCGATGAATATTTTATTTCGAACCGTCCAAAGAAAATAGCACTAACCAGCAGTAATTACTCACTTTTATTATCTGATTCCGATTGCAAAGCAGATGGCGCGCCGAATTTAAAATCTGAAATAAAATAAATGGCTCCCAATACAAATAGAATCAAATTAGTACAGGCTCCCTCTTTTCTTAAATCTACTTCCTCTATCAAACATTTCCAGCATCAATCCTTATCAAATGATGTCAACGGCGCTGATAAAATCAGAAAATCTTAATTTTTCTAGAGTACACCGGACTTTAAGCACAGCAACATTTTCTGATATTCGAAAAAATTTGATGTGTGATAACCTAATTTGGCCTTCGAAGGATCAGAGCATCCACAATTTCCTTCAAGCACAACCGGCTTCAAGAATGAGAATGCTGGAGTTACATGAGACTTGGCGGCCGATTCCTCATTTTGTTCCCTGTAGTACTTGGATAAAGGATAGAGGATAACATATACCGGTATCATACCATTCCTTTTCCAGTTTTAATAAAAGTTATCAGCTTAAAACACAAGTTTTTGGACATTGTGTGTGGCAACAGTTAACAATTTCAAACAGTCTGGATAATAATTCAGGCATTTCACTTGCCTTTTTTCATCGAGTTTCTCCACCAGTCCTTCTTCTGGTGTTGATTTGGTGAAGACCACATTCGATGGATTCTTTATTAGTTCATTTTTCTTTAAATCACTTTTTTGGCCGAATAAAAACAAAGGGATTTTGCTACTGCCTATTTCCTTAACGTCGTCCACACCTTTGTTCTGGAAGCCTCCGTTTTCTGCTTCTGTTTTCGAATTATCCCTACTATCAAAACCTCTTTTTAAAATATTTTCGGCCATAGAGGCGTTGAAAAATGGTAATAGCGGAGATGATTGTGAAGTTTGATTAGAAGCTGTTTTGATATGACAGTTTTCTGAACTTGTTAAGTGCCGTGGAACTGGACTGTTCTGAAACATTTCTAAATAACAACAATTAAATTTCTTGAAAATTTCTCCCAAATTACAACCATTTACAAAATCCATACTTTCTAGGCAAAATAGGACTAATAAGCCGACTTCTGGCATGGAATTGAACGATTTCGACATCTTCTTATTCTGCTCAAACATAATAAAAAAGTTTTTCTTTTAAGGAAATATCTTGGCAAAGGGATAGTTCATACAACAATGAGAAAAAAACAACACACACTGCAAAAAGCAGTCACAGCAGTCACAATTCATCAGAACTTACATGATTCGAAATAATTACTTCTTCATCTCCTCCTTCAGGTCCACCTTTCTTTGCTCTTTTTCTTCCTCGTTTTTCTGAAACTTAATAAAAAGTGATATTTAGCTTAAGTTAACTTAAATTTTTTAACTGCAGAATAACAGCAAACAAGGAGTGAAAACTGTCATCATATGAGTGTGAAATGTGAAAGAGACAACTTCCACTAAAAATAATTTAATGTAGATCGTCAAACATGGAGTCTTTCTTAAAACAAGCTAAGATTCGGCACTGTGATATTTTAGAAAACCAAATCTAAAAATACGAGGTTCAATAACATGATTTTTTGGAAACTACACATCAGAAATCGGATGGGTTATCCCAGCATTAGGAATAAAAAACATTAAAAGCAAAATAAAATACTTTAATTATGCAATAATTAGTCCCGTTAGAAAATGTAGGAGTTATATAAATGTTTACGAATTTCGAAACAATTCCATAAAAAAGTGTATTACTACCTTTTGAGAAATTTTAAGAAAAAATAAAAAATAAGAAACAACCCTTCTACCTGATTCAGCTAATGACGTGGTAGATATATCAACCGAAGGCTTTGAAACACTTTGAAGATTTGTGGTACTACTAAATATAGCTGTTGCACTGGATAAAGGCTTTTCTTGAGCTGCGCTGGATTTCACTATCACTCCACTTTCATCATCTACATCTTTTCCTGACGCGATTGTTTTCGGTAGTTCGTTGATAACTTCACCTTCTTTATTATCAGCAGACGCATTGGTACCATTCCCATTAGATGTATTTCCATAAGTTCGATCCAGTTCTTCGACATGTTTCAGATAATCACGAACACAAGGTGACTGCAAATCAATTCTATCGAGGCTTAAGTCACTCTCATAATTCGAAATATAGCTCAAAGAACTGTTTGGCAAAAACAAACATATGAAATTTTTTGACGAAACGAAAAGGAATGAAACAACTACCAGGTCCCCATCTGGCATTTCTTTCAGGGAACACTGAATGAAATACAGAAATGTTTTATTAAGAACAGCCATTTTGTCCAGGAATAGCTTCTCCGCTTCAGTGTATTTCATTTTTCCTCACTCGTTTAAATACATTCGAAATAATCCTGGAAATACTTGTTACAACAATTAGTAATTTAAAAGATATCGAACGAACACAGACACGGATTCACGCAAATAATTCCACCGAAAGCATTCGAAATTAAATTTAAAAGAAAATGGATTTATCAATAACAAATAGACCTGTATGAGATGTGTACTTTCCATGCCGTTTAAATTTATATATTTGATATGCTATTACTTTTAATCATGGGACGTTTAAAAACTTCATAAAAATAACTCCATCTATTCAAGAAAAACAAACATTCCTTATTTGTATGCAATAAAGAACCTACAGACATGTTCTTCATGAAATTCACAGTAGTTAAAACTATTACCTTTACACTATCCCTGGTTACAAGAGGTTTATGAAAAGACTTTACTCATTGATTGAATAAGAACGGTCATATTGATATAAGAAACAACTAGACTGGAAGTGCAAAACACGACACATGACTACCTCAAAATTACAGCCACACCACAATTCGATATAGTCAACATAAAAAGCGGACCCCAAACTATTCGCTATGCAATACTGCTGTAGTGGACGGTAAATATAATCTGGTACGTTGCTATGAAATTTTGAATCTCATCAGGATAACATGATATATTTTTGCTTGCGATCTTTTCATATGAGGATGGAGTTGAATATATTGCTGCGATGACTTGCTTTTGTCATTTATTTTAAATTAATATATTAGTTTAATTATTACTTACATTTCAAATATTTTCTCTTTCTTAAAAATTGTTTCTCTGAGAAGTATTTTGAACTTACAAGAATTCATTTATCTGACTAATTTCTCTTCTTTTACGTTAGTGACAGCACCACAAAAAAATCTTTTTTCTGAAACGAAAATGATAAGTAATTAAATATACTAGCTTTTCATAATTAAACTAATTTATTAATTACGAAAAACATATATTTCGAATTAAAAGGTATTATGTTTGATATGATATTTGGTATCAAATATGATTTTATGATTAATTTTTGTAATGTTTGAAATATTATCTTACTTTGTTGCATGCAATATATTATTATATGTATACTAATTCTTCAATATCTAAAATATTTCGACGTTATATACTAATTTTGGTCAAAAACAAACTACAATACTCCTCGACTTATGATAGAAAATAGTTGAATATGGAGTGAAGTAAATTGAATATCGTAGTACTTTATGTATATATCATGGATGAAAACTTGTATAATATCATACCGTATGCGTTGCTAATATTTAGCTAGAAAAATGAGCGCTTATTGTGACACAGGAAGAATTTGACAATTTGAAAGAATTTTAATGTATCCAAAAGAGTGTTCAAAACAAATTGAGAAAATAAAATAAAGGAAAAACCTTATGCTAAGACAACAATAAAAATGTATCTTAAAAAGTGAAACAAAATTTAGTAAATTAATGCTAGATATATACGCTTCATTGATAACGTGTACGATTAACGTACATCTTGAACGCACGGATACGTCTATTACATTCATTCCATTAGCTGATCGAATTCGATTGAACAAACAGCACTCATAACTGCATCCGCTGGATTGTCTAAAATTTCTTAATTTTAGTTGTTCTCTAATGTTTGTTTATCCATCATCACATCTCAACAGATACTGCCTGTCAAATTTTTTTAAGTTTAAAAAAGAAAAAAACCTTTCAGAAATGATATCATCGAAAAATTTATGGAGAGTTTACAAACAAGAAATTCAATGAAAGATTAAAGTTTGGTTATTTGTAATCTAGTTGTTTAAGATCGATACAGTTAGTATATATGCTTAAATATAAGGGGTTTTAGTAAAATGAAACAAAATAGTTATTATCTTTTGGCATTACGAAAAGTTATCACTGTGATTGAAATTGAGATTGTAATGGTTAACTTTTAAGTTTATTAAGTCCCAAAAATTAATAATTACCGTTTAATGAAAGATATAGAAAAGACTGATCAGATTTTAGGGTGTCATCCTATTGAACCACAAAGTGATGAATTAGCAGAAACTGTATGCTTTGGAGAAAATTTGATAATTTGAGATTTTGTCAAATGCAGACTACTGATCGGGAAAACTCGTGATTTTACACATTCACATAAATTTTCTGCAGCATTCAACGAGCCATCATTGAATATCGATGCTTTTGATATTGATATTCTTAACATATACCTTAGCATTATTTCTATCATGGTAAAAAATTTTCCTTTCAAAATAAAATTTACCCGAAAGAAAACTCGAAAATGTTTAAATCAGGAAAAAATAAACTGTCTATTTTTGTCAAAAAATAGTTTAAAAAGTTTTTCTTTCAAAATAAAATCTACCGGAAAAAAAGCTCATATTTGAACCAGGAAAAATTAAAACAAATATATTAATGAAAGTTTATTTTTAAGAATGATTCCTGTATATCTAAGTATATTTGCTGAATGATAATCAATAAAGTTACCGTTTTTGCATTTGACTATCGCTTTTGGATCGCAATTTTAAAATACGATTTATAATAATGAAAATATAAGTTAGCACTAAGAATATAATTAAACAACAAACAACAACAGTTAGAGAAGTTTGCAAAGTTTTTCCATATGTCTGATCCTGAAAATGAAAATTTTCATTCTGCTCTTAAATTAAATCATAAATGTTTACATTGACCTTTTTGACCTCCACACATACTGTTACCAATATTGAGAAAGATTGAAAATACTATTATACAAATGAAGCTATACAATTTCCTATCCTTTGATGCTTATTTTGCAATTTCCTTTTTAAAAATTTGTTTTGAATTTAATTTTATTTGAAATGATCATCACATATTTGATTATTTCTTACCATTCTATCATCCTACTATAATTATTACACTGAGAATTATCCAATAGCGATACTATTAAATTGTTACTTTTTCTAAATTAAAAACGCAATATATTCTACTTCATTTTTATTCATTCATATATCATAGTTTTACACATTAGTCACTTATTTAAATTGAATTGAAGATGAATCAGCAAAATAAACACTGAATAAATTAATTACAAAGAGCTATCCAGCTGTCGCAACAATTCTCACAGAGATTGATGAAAAGACTGATAGCGAGAGATGATAACAAAACCTTATTTAAATTGAATTAAGAATAAAAAAGTTTTATTAATTAGTCAAAATAAATTTTAAAAATAAGCTTCAAATTCTAGTTATAATAAAGAAGAAGTATTACAGTCGATCATACATATACTTATTTGAATGATCAAATAAAATTCCTTAATGAGACTTTCATGATTAATAAAATTAAAAATTTTTCTCCAAATAGATCCGCAACTTACGATTGTTTGTTTCGTCATATGTGAACATTGGTCGAAATATTTTGTAAAAGTTAACTTCGCTTTGAAACACGTACCTGACATTTCTGTTCTGTTCTAAAATATTATCAAACAACGATTATTTCACAAAAAATCTCATTATAATTAATTTCCTAGAAGAAGCTGTTGGAATGCATGAGGTCATTGCTATGAGGTCACAATAACTGCTCTATGTATGTATCCATGCGAATATACATAAATAAAATATTCATATATACATATTTGATATGTATATATATATATGTGTATATATGAGAACGGAAGTGATAACGTTTAACCATTCCAGCGAATCGGAACAGGAAAATAGTTCCACTAGAATCGCAAAGTCTCGAGAAATCATAATCAGGATCAATTCCATTAATAGTAATAGTTGAAACTATCATATCAGGTACTCCTTCACTCCAAAATGATATCAAATGAGTTTCACCAGTCTTAAATCTTGCAAAATGGTTGAAATTTAAAAGATCATTCACAAAAAAAGTTCTTGCTCTTCACGATTATAACTTTCATTCATAACGATATCATCAAAAAAGTAACCTGTTGTTGTTGATCGAAGTTCATTCTCAAAATTTTGATGATAGTCTCATTGTTGAATAAATTGATTAGACGTAGCTGAAGTGTTGGTTGAATACAAATATTATGCAGGTCACAATTGTTTGACCATTCAATCCATTTCAACCTAATATCGGTCCAGAATTCCGCCGATAAAACATAATAAAATATAGAAAGAAGCAAAGAGGCAATTAACAATCGCATATTAATGTTAATATCTGCAATGAATATGTTCCAATTGTATTAAAAAGATCGGATTAATTTTATTCCACCTATGAAATTAATCATTCGTTCACATTTCAATTTCTTATGATTGCGTTTAGTAGATTATGTTTGTACTTATAAAGATAGCTTTACTTCATTTCCTATCCAAATTAATTTAAGGAGGGTTTTATTAAAAACTAAGAGTGCCAAAATTTTTCGTCAGGTATAAATACTTATCAATAATTGAAACTTCAATAATAAACTCAACACTTATTTGTTACCTGTTGTTATGCAGCCTATATATATGAGCTGCATAAAGGTATTTGTAGTCGTTAGACAACGGTCATTCCATAGGGTCATTGTATGGATAAAACACTACGTAGTTATTGTTTTCACGAATGATCGTGATTTTTCTGTGGCACTTGATGTCATCACCATTATATCAATAACGGCTACCCGATTTCAAAGAGATCAAAATAACGGATCCGAAAGCAATAATTAGTGTCTTTATTGATTAGAACGATTCCAATGAGTAATAAAGATAGCTCCAAAGTATTTCTTCAATTTTTCAATTTTGGCTAACTGAAATTAATTATTTGGAATAGATGGATTTAATCAAATTAAAATACATTTCAATTTTTAGGTTTAGTTCTAAAAAATTTTCAGTTTGCCAAAATCAAAAAATTTACCTATCACAAATTTATGGCCACAGTCAGTTTCGACTTATATTTTACTATTCTAAAGATTTTTTTATGATTCCCATCACTATCAACCAATAAAAATAATATCTATCCCATTTATCGCACATTTCATGAAGTTACAATATAAGTTTTAAGGAACATTTCAGAGTTTGTTAAGGCATCTGAAATGTCGTTGATTGTTTCAGGCCTTTCTTTCAGTGTTACTTTATTCAAACTCTTCCGATCTTTTATTTCACTTTTTTCTCTTCCATACATTTAAAAGTATTTACAGAAATGAAATAAATGTTCTTAGAGAGAGAGAGAGAGAGAGAGAGAGAGAGAGAGAGAGAGAGAATAACAATCATATCCATACATATTTACAGGCGTATTTATCACAGAGCATTGTTATGCAAAAGAAAAGGAATACAAAAAAAAGGGGCTATAATGATAAAATTTGTTATAGATGGAAATAATCATTGTGATCTAATCCATGTGACAGATTATCATCATCACTGGTAATTCCATTGGTCTATCTTTTCTTATTCAGTGACCAGTAGTCCAGTGGTTAAGAAGGCTCTTTCCTCTAGGCTCTCTTCATTCCTCTCTCTGTATGGTTTGAAGCCTTCGAAAAGTAATTAATGAATAAATGTATTCTTTGAAAACCAACTAATTGTATCGTAAATTTTATTTTTCTTATAATTATAGTAGTAAATCAATGTTTGTTAATTAAATTACTATACTTTGGATCATTTGGCTCTAAACAGTTAATGGTTGTTTTATGATCGATGTGTTAGACAGACTCCAGGCCACTATCGTGATGTTCGTATAATGACGAATTGGGTGACAACCGTTTCGACATTGTTGATATAGTCCCCGTAATCATTGTTTTACGTGGAATATAGGATAATGACTTCAAAACTGGAATTGAAGTACGATTCAACAATTTTGAATCTATCAATGTATTATCACTATCGATAATTGAATTTTCCTTACTCCAGAATCGTTGCAAAATACATTTTTGATCCCATGGAACATCGTACCTAAAACTAAAACGCTTTTCTAAAGTAATTTTCCACTATCGAGAAGACTGCAAATCGAATGTTTATGCTATCCGGTTTCTGTCAATTATGAAAAATTTTTGTAAATCGATACCAACCTATCATCAGCGCTTTTCACAGGTTTTGCAAGTTGTTCCGAGTATAGGTAGGAATTTAGATGATTGGTATGTTGTGATCGTTTCTGTAGCAGTGATATGAAGTGACGTTGCTTACTGATAACTAGCAGTAGGCAAATTAAGCCTAATAGACTTATCAATGATAAGCCTAGTAGAAAGATCAATAAAGTTTGTTGGCTAAGAAAAAATTGCGCAAATTTCTCGATAAAACCCATTTTAGCTGTACCACCTTCGTCGGTTGATTCGTACTGCAATTTTTGCAAAGATCATACTTACATGTTAGTGTTAAATATTAAGCACTGAATTACGAATTGATTTAATAAATCGATTAATTCCGATCTCAAATTTTATTTCAATATTCTTTGAAGATTGTGTGGTAGTAAGAAATGCTATTATACGCTGATTACCTCAGGCGCTGATTCAATAAGCGTCATGTCATCATCCGCTAAACACCATGGACAATGTTTCGTATATTTTCGTGCAGCAAATGAAGCATTGAAACATTTGGCTCGAATTTCAACAATAAGTTTGCCATGTCTTTCATCTATAGGTGATTCATCTTCTGATGTTAACTTTGAATAACTGTTAACTTCCTGAAAATCCTAAAATTGCTAAAAAAACCAAGTGATAGCTATAAATTCCGGATTACCATATCGATTTATGTGACATGCCTTCCCTAGCAGTCAATTTATAACAATAATGTCTTGATTGTCAAATATTTCTGTTTCAATATCAGCTAACTTGAGCCATCTAATCATTAGTTCAACAAATTAGAATTCTTTTCCAGGATATATCTCATACATTTAATTCCAATGAAAGTTATAATAAGAAGTATTCATTTACAATATTTTAATTAGAAAAAAGTTATAAATTAATTTTCATTAATACAAATTTACTAATTTTTTGAATTCAAAAAATTGTAATAATAAATTTCAATTAAAATGTGAAAATTTGAAAGTTAGCATAAAACCTCAATGTTATCATTTTCGTTGAATATTTCGATATTCTGAGTGGTATCACAAGTTCGAGAGAATCCATACAATGGGTCCATACCAATAACTTCACATTGAAGAGTAATTTCATCTGGTTTACCATGCATCCAATGAGTAACGAATTTTCGAGAATGTCTCTTTAAAAAAAGCTTAAAAAATTTCTACAAGTTGACTTTTTCAATTAAATGCTGAAAATATTTTCAACACTTTCTAAAAGTTATTTTAGTTCATATTTTAATTAGTAAAATTTCGGGAATAATTATATTTAATTTTACAAGAAATCTAATTTTTTTCTTCTTTTTTTCTCTTAAAGTTCAATTTAAAATTTTAAATTGTAAAATGATAGTGATAATGATGATAAGAGTGATAGTGATAATGATGATAATAATGATAATAACAGTAATGTTTATTCAATTTTTTATGAAATTTTCAAAAAGAATAATTTTAAAAAAGGTAATATCTGAAATTAAAACAAAAATGAAATATTATGCTGTTATCCTTTCCTTTCTCAGAATTATTCAAAAATATTTTCAAATTATTCAAAAATTGGAAAGTTTTAAAATTCGATTATAAAATATAATATGCTAACCTCAAGAAAATTTTCCGTAATACTCCAACTTATTGAAATAATTTCGGCGTTAAATTTATTAGATTTGGAGATTCTAAAACGTGGATTAGCGCATCCGCCTGTTGTTAAACATGTTGGCTTCCAATAGACTGATTGAAGTTCTAATTCAATCCAATAATTGATATTTTGTTCCATTAAAGAAAATATGGAATGAAATTGTGTTGCTGTTATTACTGCTAAGCTAATTAGCATTTGCATAATTTCTTTCTTTTTCCTAGTCCTAAACAATAAAATTATGATTTATGATAATTGATCAAATTAGTTATATTAACGATCGAAAAGGGATAGTACATTTTTGCTAAAATTGAAATTAATTTAATTTTTATAGAAAAGTTAAGATATTACATTGAAATGAAAAGTTCAACGTTTTGATGCGAAATATTCGAATTTCAGAAATATACACTAAGTGAAAAGATGCTAAATGGATTAGTTCAAACTGTCAACAGATAATACTAATTATTTTTAAAGTTAAATGGAACATTCTAGACACTTAAATCTTTGCCCTATAATTTAAGTTTAAAATTTAAGTAGCAATAGCAAGTGGTGACAAATTGAATTAGATTTTACGACAAGATAATAACAGCAAAAATAATTGGAAAAATTAAAAATGAATTTAAAAATTCAGAGAAGACTAAGAGGGAATGTGGAAATGAGATATTTCGCTGTGTTTGTTGAAATTTTGATAGTTTCGGAAGAACGGTATGTTTGAGGTGAAAAAGATTGGAAGGATATCATTCTTCTGATAAGATATTGAAAAGTTTTGTTTTATGGAAGCGAATGAAAAGAGCCGTAGAAGTGATGAATGAGTGTTAGATGGCTTTTGGCCTAATTGTGAAAATTTTAAAATTTCGAAAAGAGCAAAACTTTCTTCTAAAAGTGAGGAAAAAATTTTTCGTGGAGTTTTTATCCAAATGTGTTTCGTTTCGTGTTTCACTGATATTATCGTTTGTCACATATGCATACCGTCACATACACATACACATACACATATATATGTATGCCTACACGCATATTTTACGCATTAGTGCGCTTCGCTCTATGAACAACCTGTGTGGTATAATTAAATGTGATACTTCGAGCGATTCTTTTAGAGAGCTATGATTTTGGCTAAGTTTATTCTTGGCTCTTTTCAATAAACTGTTTTACAAATGAAAGAGAGATGATGGTCAAATTTTTGAATCTCAGAATTATGTCTATTAATTTTTAATTGATTTTCTAAACTTGGTAGTTTTAATTCAAAATTTGAAAGCTCTTTATTTGACATTTAGATAGATATTAAGTACCAGATAATCGTCACAGATTTAGGTAGAGAAAAATGACTTACAATAAAAATGATAGAATAAATTTACTATTCGATGGAAAGATCAAAGTTGTTTTTGTCAACTAAGCAACTATAAACTACCATATCATATTTTCACTCATTTAAATTAAAATATCAAAATATCGACAAGTAAAGATAGTAGAAGCTATTGCTAACTAACCATTTTATAAGTTACCCGATACTTTAATTTAACTCATAAAAGGGGTCGAAAGAGGACAATTGTTCGGTTGATCATTCCGTTCATTGCTTCTTTTCCCTTTGGGATGCTTTGCCTTCTTCCGCATTTCACTTTCAGGCTAATGTGCTGTGAAATGTGTGCTTGGCTAATAAATAAGTGAGGGCTAACCACTGCTCTATCACATCCTCTCATCTTCAAGATTCTATCAGTCGAAATTAATCATTGCCGTGTTATTCGAGTAACTCTGTCGCTGATCCCAATGGAATACAAATTTGCGCACAGTTTAAATCTCTTCTGCTATTGCTGCCGACGAAGTTTTTGAATTTCATCCGTGCTATAGGCCTTCAAAAAGAGGCCAAAAATGCTACTCTATTAATTTAGTTGGCTTATTCAGTTGGCTCATTTAATCAGGCTTATTCATAATAAATGAAATCTCATTTCTTTCGAAGGATTGATCAAAAGTTTATAATATACTCTCGAAGTCTATCATTTATTTTGAAAACATAAATCTTTTCAATTCATTTTAAAAGTGTCATTTTGAAAAATGAATTTTTTTAAATTATTTATTTTTGTTTGCGTTTTATTTTGACAGATTTTTCATTTCAAATTAAAAAAATTTTGAAATAATTTCTTTATTGGATTTAATGAACTAATTAACCGTTTTCAGAAGAGTTACAAGATTTCACACCTCCAAATTTCTACAATCAAAAGTTCATCATTCTGAATTACTCCATAAATCAATTTATTATCGCTGAAGCTGAGATAATAATAATAATCTGTTTCAGAAATTCACTTATCCTATGTAGAAGTTGCATCAGTTTTCTAGCAATGATGATGGATTCAGATTCTTTCATTTCTGATAGTAACGGATCCAGATTCTTTCATGATAATGAGCTAAAAAAAAGAAACAAAGTAAAACTGTTGCTTAATATGAGCATCTATATCCATCTTATTTCAAATCGCTTCATCTCCTCATATTTTAAATTAGTGCAAAAAAAAGATTTACTGCATTTTGATCGTTGAAAGATCATTTAATACAATTAATAATTTTATGATGAAGGTACTGTTGCGTAAAAGATCGATTGGAATAAAAGTTATTAAATGACATTTGTTAATGCTAAAACTCTTCTAATCTATTTCTCTAAGCCTAAGCAATATAATGCTTGAATGCTATTAAGCTTAGCAAAAAGCACTTAAAGTTTATGCTTCATCAAACAGTAAATGAATAAGTAAAAAGCTAAGCGGCAATTGCTTCCTAATGTTAATAGCTTCTAAGCGCTCCATTTCTTGATACTCTTCTGAATGATAAAGATAATTAGTTTTTGGCAGGTGAATTCACTAAGGGTCGGTAATTGTTTAATTCAGTCAACGATGCATTCCAAGCAAATGTTATCCTTTAACATTTTATATTGAAAATTTATTGAAATTATGAAATTTCACATAATATGCAAATTAAGATGAATTCATCACAATACTTATATTATTAGTTTAATGGTTCAACAAAATTATATTAGCCATTTTGTTGATGTTAGCAGAAAAAAATCGAATAATTTCTCAGCAAGGCCTATTTAATTATTTATCTAAAAAAACTACAATATGGCCTTTTCATTATTTGCACAATAATAGCATGCAAAAAGGCTGCTATATGTGAATAGCTGGTTGGATAAATGCAATAATTTTTCACTCATTTCATATTACAATGCTAAGTTTATATGGGAACTTTCTTTTAATTTATCTTTTAAAATTAAATCTAAGTTCAATTTCAAAAAAGGAATAATCTGAATTGAATGTGTTTGCAAAAGGAAAAGCTAATTTAAAAATGAATTGTTCCCACCGATCCAATAATAATAAAAAGTCTAATTCATATTTAAATACTTAAAAAAGAATAAAGCTATATTAATGGATAATATATTCAAAAAATCATTCAACTCTTCCCATGAAAATTATATTCAGAATATTTTTGTTCAGCAATTATACTATTCCAAATTGCTTTTAATTGTAGCCAAACACCATCCATTGTTGGACGCTCATTGACCTCTGTATGCCAACAACGTCTCATTAACTTTATAATCTTCCGTGGTAACTTAATATCATGTGTTCCTGTAATTTACATAATTCTTTTATTCGAATTAAAATATACTAAAGAGATATGATTTGGAAGACCAATGGCTATTTCAAGAATTTTATAGCCAAAGATTGTTACTTGCATATTGTTATGAATTATATTAAATAGTTGATATTGAAAAGATGAGAGAAAAATTTCGTAAACAAATTTATATTACAAAAATTGACTGATTATTTGATAATGACATTTTTGTTCTTTTAAATGGAAAAATACTCTAACAGAAGGAAGAAAATGATCAATTGTGTCGAAAATGATTTTTGATAAGTGATAAAATGCTCACTGGGTCTTATCCTATATCCAGCTATCAGTTTAACTCGAATCTCATCGGAATTCATCGAAAAATACGGTAAATTTCCGGTAAAAATTTCGTAAAGTGTAATGCCAAATGCAAAGACATCGGTAGCTTCTGTTATTTGTTTCGTGTTGAATACTTCTGGTGCAAGCCAACGAATATTTATCGGTTTTTCAGGATTTATTTTTTTGATCCTCAAAAATTATCTCTTTGAAAGATTCATATTTCATCCATTCAATAAATCATTCATTAGCGAATAAATTTTTAAGAAAATAAAATAATTTCAGGTTACTTACTTTCCAATATGAGACTCACGAAAATCACCCAAATAGTATTTGTAACCGTGTTGGGAATGATAATTGATAACCTTTGAATTATTAATCATTTCTTTCCTCACAAATATATTTCTAGCTCCAATGTTGCAGTGCAATAATCCAAGAAAGTGCATGTCAGATAAGGCTTGCGCTATTGTTTCTGCAGTCTAAAAAATTGTGGCATTCATAGTGATAAAATATAGAATCTCATAACATATTTTGAGTGAGAATATTTCACAGAATAAACTTACTTCTAACTTATCCATAAAAGTAAGTTGCGATCCCATACGTTGAACAAAATCCGGATAGGAACCATAGTTCATGAATGGATAAATAATCATATACGGTGAATGAAAAATTTGTACTGACTGCACTGATACCACCGAATCATTGGATCGGCGCAATAAATTCGAAATATGCAACTCCTAAACCATCATATTGATTGAACATTTGAGTATCTTTACCATTATATGATTGAATTAAGTCAAATATTATTTTAAATTATTAAATTTTATGCATAAATCATTATCACAATTGTTATTGTGAAATAAATTTTATCGTTTTAAAAACGAAAAAATTAAGAAATATGAAAAATTTCTAAATCATACCCGACAAATATTATTGAGTTCATTATGATCATATTTGTGCATTACTTTAATTACCACCTGTTCACATTTGTTCAATGTATGCAAACTACCGAGAAAACACTATAATTTTTCAAACCATTTTAAATTGCCATAAATATTTTGCAAATTTTCGAGTGGAAAACTTTTAAATTAAAAAGTTGTTGTTTTTAATTCTACAGTGATCCAAATTGAACTGAAACTGATACTTTATAAAATGAAATTATCAGACAATCACAAGTATCCTCTGTGTCCTATTTAAAAATTATGGACATCGTTCAAATGCTCGTTTCATTTAATTTACAAATCAATACACTACGCAATAATACTAGTTACAGTAGGCATGTTGGCGTTTTTCAATGAAAGAATTAATTTTAAGTATGAAATACTAATTAATGAAAAATACAAAATCATAAATTAGTCAATTGGCTAATTAACTGATAAAGGAATGGAATCATTTGACAATTTTAATTTTTCCTGTTATCAGCGATTCATTAATTACATCAGCAATTGTCCCTTTCGAGATGAGACTCTCTGTACTAATGATATCATTCTCTCGCAGGAATAATCCTGATAAGCTATAATCATTTTTATCTTCCACGTTTGAATTGACGAAGTAACGTAGTATAACATTTGTTCCCAGTATTGCCGACAATACATTCATCTATAAAACGCCTTTTAGAAGATAAACTTGATTGAACTTTAAAAATTAATTTTTCTTCAAGTCAGAAGAATAACTCAATCCACTCACAGGACTTTGAATACATTTCTGAATTAATTCAGCTACAGAAACAGCTAACGGATAAATGGAATTTTCGAAAGTATATGTTTCACAAAATTTGACAATCAATAAATGATATATTTCATGCTCGTCTGACATTACTGAGAACCGAAAAATATCATCATGTGTACGAGAAATCACATAGTCACCTAAAATAAATTATTTTATGAGCTATTTGCATAAAAATTTAAGACAACTTTTTATACATTAATTTCAGGCTGTTTCTTATTCATTGCAAATTTGATTATAAATTTTGTAACAATTTTTCATTTAAATTTTGGGTGCTGCAAAGAAAAATTTGCAAGGAAGATTTATTTATTTCTTCCAATTACAATACCTGGTTTCTTGAGTATTCGCTGTTCAATGAACATTTCAGAAAGTCGTCCGAAATAGTTCGCCTTCTTTAGTTGTGATTCATCGCCAGTACAGTCGTTTTCTTCACTCTAAATAATTAATATTAATTGATTAACTGGAATTACATTTTTGTCATTTATATTCACATCAGTGAGAAACTTTGTTATAAAAACTATTGAAAGTTTCAAACATGCACTGAATTAGATCACTTAAAATAGTCAAAGATCCTCAGATGATGAATTTAAGAGATCGAAGAGTTCTGATTCTTATTCTCAATATATGTTTCTAATTCTTATTCTCTTTAAGAAGAATATCTGATTCTGATTCTCCACAGAAAGAGCACCTGATTCTCATTCCTCATAAGGAGAATATTTGATTCTAATCTTTTATTTTAATTAAGAACTTCAATAACTTGTTTAATGATTTGAATCTAAGCATGTAGAATTTATTAAATAATAGAATTTTGACCATGATAGGATGCATATGAAATCCCATGTCGGCAATTAATAGCTGAAGTTTCTGCACTGCGTTATTGAAGTTTATTTCAGAAGAAGAATTATTTCCTTTTCCTACGCTTTTTCTTACTACAACTCCAACTTCTGCTTCTGAGATCTGCAAATTTTGGGAAAATTGCAATAGTTTAGAAGCATTTCATAGAACTTATTGCTTTATACATCAAAGCAATTAGCAAACGCTAATTTTACTTCTATTACTAATTAGCACACAATGCATACGAATAATTATGTAATACTACCTGTATTGGTAATCAATGAGATAAGAATTAAACTTAACGTTACCATTTCTATTTTATACACCGTCACCGAATATCTAAGCCAATAATCATAAACAAACAATTCGTAAACAATGAATCGCAGTAACTGAACTATTCCTTTTAAATATCTTACTGACAAAATTCGTTCTAACACCTTCTTGGAAAAAATTTGAATACTTGAAAAAGTGTAATTTAAAGCGAGTTCACTTACAACCAAATTCTTTTTAAATATTGGCTGCTAGATAAGTTGCACGAAGTAGTGTATGGTACAAATCAAAAATTTTTTTGAACAGTAATTGAAAACTTATTCATTGTTGTTGTTGTTGAAACCATTACTTACTTAGTTTAATTAATAACATATGTTAAAATAAGTAAGTTAATAATATAATACTATTTTTCACTTCCAAACATTCTTTTTAGGTTATATTTTTGATTGCTACGATTATTGTCAACAATCTGAATGATAACAATTGATCACGCATATAGCACAATGATTATGATAAATTTATACACTATTTTGATACTAGTATCGCTGATCGATATACTATCTGTATTGTATATTTTTATGCAAATTAGACTAATGCGCCTTAAGAATCAAATTTTACAAGTGATGTAATTTGTACCAATCTTTATGCCTTAATTCATTCACATTAATTCCATCTATGACAGTTTTCCTTAAATAGTAATTTTTCTATTTAAATTAATCCTCAAGAAAGAGATTGTTTGAACAATGAGAGAGAGAGAGAGAGAGAAAGAGAAGAAAGTCTTTTCCAATTCTTTTATTAATTAATTCATCTTGTCATTGTCTTTTAATTTATTTATATGATTTATTCACTTGCAAACTTTTTTATCCCATTTTTTTTAACTCCAATAAAATTTATTTTTTCTATTAAAAGCTGAAATAATTTATTTTCCACTGTTAACATTTTCGAATTCCTATTCTTTAAATCTGATTCTGATTCTCATTTTCCCAAGAAGAATATCTGGTTCTAATTCTCATTTTCTCCAAGAAAAAAATCTGATTCTGATTCTTATCTTCTCTAAGAAGAATATCTGATTCTGATTCTTATTTTCTCTAAGAATATCTGATTCTGATTCTTCACAGAGAGAGCGAGAAAAAAAACGAAATCTCTTTTATTTCTCTATTCTCCTTAAAATATTGCTATTATATTTGAATGTGTAAGAAATTTGATTCAGAAGAATTTTGAATGTATTAACAAGAAGTGTATTTGATAGGAACTTCATTGATAATACTGAAATGTTGTCTTTTTATGAAAATTAAAATCTATCAAAATTTAATTTTATTACACTATAATTACAATGGAAATATTTCCATACAAAATATAATACACTAAAAATACATTTTATTCAATTTCTTTAAATTCAATTTAAATTGGAAAATATTGAAATTATAATAAAACTTTCTATTGTTTTTGATAATGAAAATATTCGTGCCAACAACGAATTACGACGAATTAGATTTTCTTATTGAAAATTTTTGCTAAAATTTGAATTATTATTTGCTTTTGTGAAGAATTGAAAAAATTTCTTTTCCAATTAAACTTCATATCTTTCCTTTCTTTGCACTTTCTTTCTTTCTTTTTCATCTCAATATTTCCCATACAATTATTTCAACAGCAAATCGATATGCGCTTTCTAAAACAATAAATTAAGAAAATTTTGCATAAATTCAAATATTAAATTATATCCAAATAAATAATTCGCAGTGTATTTATTAGAGCAAAAGAATACAACAATGATTTAATAATAATTTAAATTTCACTTCGTTCATAGTTTCAATATCTCCTTGATTCCATTGCCTGAAATATTGTGTGCTTCTTTTTATGAAACACAACTTATCCTTCAAATAGTAGCCTCGTTTACATTAAAGCCTACTATACTTGAAATTTTCAAACCCAATTAATTAAATATTAATTTGTCGTCTTCTTTTTCTTTCGGAAAAAAGGAAATCAATTAATCCTCAAAAGTATTAAAATTTCTTAACTTAAATATCCGAACCAAAATTAAAACTAAAATGGCATATTACCAATTTAAAAAATTTGTAAAGAAAATACTTTGTTAGGAAAATTTCAAGCAACGATGCATAATTTAACTTATATTTGAAGGAGAAAAGAAAAGGATAAGAATAATTACAACGAGCACATTATAAATTCATTTTCTAAAAGGCAGTATTGAGAGTTTATTTTGATGAAAGAAAAAGAATTTGTAAAATTATTTTTAGGATTTGAAATGGATGAAATGGTTGTTGATAAATTCATTTCAATGAACAAAAAATAGAGAAAAGGAAGATATTTTCGATTAAATTCAAATCGCTCATAAATTTCATCAATTCTTTTAATTTCGCCCAAATTTTAAATTTGAACTTTTTCATTGGTATTTAACATTTTTTTTACATTTTAATTAGCATTGAGATTAAATTAATTAAATTAAATTAAATTAATTATAAACAAAAATGAATCATTCCATTTTTCCTTCAATCTCTTCTTTTAAAATGCTAAACATTTATGCGAAAAAAAACAATCAGTAAGAAAGAATTGGTACGATTGGAAGTGATTGCTAACATATGAAAAAATAATCATCCTATGATCACATTTCGATAGGATCCGATTTAGGCCTATGTAGGCTTTGAAAGGTATAATGTTGATACCTTCGACATCCCATTACGCAGGCAGATAATAATGCAGCAGTGGCACAGAGAATTAAAATGATAAGAATTGTGATAACAATACGATTGATACCATCAACAGTTGCTTGAATACGTCGTGTCATGTCATAATTATCATAAATCATTCCCAAAAAACCATTGATAAAAGCTTTCTGCTCCTCACGTGAATACGAATCAAGGCGTGACATAATGGCACGCGCCTCAGAACGTGAAAACGACCCCGTGATGATCTGTAAATTCATCCTTTTTTTGTTCTAAATTATATTAGCAAATTTTGCTTTTAAAATTTAACTTTAAAAATTTATTCAAATTTTTCCTCGATATAATAAATAGAAATATTTTAAAGAGAAGAAAGTAATAGTTATATTTGTGTATTTATCGCTTCCAATTACTATATATAATCCTGAATTGTTATATTAAAAATAACGATTTCATACAAACCATTAATTAAGTATTCCAATGCTTCTATCTTACTAAAATTATCATATTTAATCAAATTTATCACAACACTTAATGCCCTCTATGCTCTCTATATCATTTTGCAACACACCACAATGGACACGAAGAACAAATGATTACACAAGTATTAAACTAAAATTTAAATTTAACTTGACAATAATAATAATAATAATAATAATAACAATAATAATAATAACAATAATAATAATAATAATAATAATAATAATAATAATAGTATAATATAGATACAGCGCTTGTTCCAACTTAAGAATTTTTCTTCTCTTTTTCAAAAATAATTTTGTTTGCAATGGAATAAATTAATGAATCATAATTGAATTAAACTGCTTCTTTAATTAATGATGTAATAGTTCTGTTTCAATGATAATTAATGTTTCAATGAGAAAATTAACATTTGTGTTTTGAAATACCTCATCCCTTCTTGCCACACACAATTAATCACTTCTTCTCGACAATATTAATTTATAAGTGAAATTTTCATTAACTATTTCTTTGGTCTAAAATTAACAAAATTTCAGCTTCTGATAATCAATAATTACTAACTGAATTCAGTAATTTAATAATTTAATTGGCTTTCAAGTTGAATAGGATAGAACAATATAAACAGTATTTGATTATAATTGATTTCGTTTTATCTGATAGGATTAAGGCGGATCGTCGGCATGATGAAACGAGAATGCTTATCACTGAAGTTACTGTTACACACTTATTCTTCAATAAAATACATACAATGTCAGCTATAAAATGCTAATTAATTGATGCTAATTAAGTGTTATGTAAAAAGTACATATGACTAATTAATTTAAACAAAGGGCATGAAGGTATCATAGAATAATCTTATTTTTAATTTGAATGTATAGAATTTCGTACTTTTTTATTATGATAATGTGGAGTAAATGCTGCCAGGAAAATTGACTAATTAAAAAAATTTAATTTTCAAAATTCTCTGTTATTTCAGCAAAACATAAATAGTCCATCTCATTTTGTCATTCCCAAAATTTATATTCAGATTTTTTGTGGTAGAAAAATTGATTTAAATCAAAATGATTCCTAAAGTTCCTAAAATGAAACACAACTGATTATAGAACAAAAGAGAATTAATTAGCTGAACTGTTTTTTTGACTAACAATGGAACAGATCGTCGTATCAGTTCAATCATTCAGCACAATTTATATCATTGAAGAGATAAAAATAAAAATGAATTAAATTAAATTATTCTACCATTTCATTTTTATTTCACAGAAATATGTCACTGTTAGTCAGATGCGCTTTTCGTTTACGCATTTGTGGAAATGTTTGCTTATGATTCCATAAGATAGGCCTTAATTTCTCACAATAATCTTAGGCCTTAATTTCTCACACTAATCTTTTTCTCTACCAAAATACTAACAAATAAATTTGTTATAGAAATTTAAAAATGATAGAAACTTTTTGCGTTTAATTTACAGTTAACAAAAAATTTTTCCTTATCAAATCAATGCGAATAAATTGGTATTTAATAAATTAATAAATTAATTAATTAATAAAAAAGTTTTAAAAAGAATAGGTTATTGTTTTTTTAATATTTACACAAACCCAAAAAAAGACAAAAATGAAAAGCGAAGTTTTAAAAGGAATTGAACTGTCAAATACTAATTGAATAAGTAAATCGTAACAATAAGCCATCATTAATCATTCAATTCATTCGGCCTATAAAGGCATTCATTTTCTTTCTTTCACTATGCAAAACTTTAAGGATAACGATGTCGTAATCTTTTTCATAAACAATAAAATGAAAGTAAACATTTTTAAATTGTCTTTCGAAAAATGTAAAAGAAAAAAACAATGGGAAGAAACAATAAGCAATAAATCCAATAGAAACAGCCAAACATAAAAGGAAAAAAGGCCTTACTCTGACAAGAAAGGCCTTGAAAATAGAATTGCTAAGGGACAAAATTTTGCAATTCTATCATTCATTTTTTTTAAATATGAAATTTGCGAAGTTTTATTTGTAGGCGAAAAGAATTAGAATAATGTAAGGATAGAAATATTTATGTTAAAGAAACATCTTTTAGGCTCATTTCTTATTGCGTCTTTTCCGCCTAACTGTAGTTGGAATAGGAAACTTTCTCACACTCATCGTTCTTATCACTCTGAAGAGTTTCATTATATTCAAAAAATTTGGAATTAATAAACAATAGTAGTTTAAAAAGTTGATTTTAAATAAGAATAAATCGTAAATATACTTTTTCATATAATCAAATTGAATGAAATAGTAAGTATTTCATGAAAGGCCTATAAATATTATTTTAGATTTTTACAAATGAAATTAAAGCCTTCAAGCTTACTGCTATCTAATAAACAACAGCAATTTATATTTACATCATAGAGTATCAGAGAAATATTGATTGATTCATCACTTTCAATTTATTCTCATCTTCAGAAATTGTTTATCTTTTACAACGGTTATATGTAAATGAAGATTGAAAGTGGTCGATTTCATTGATAATTTTTCCTAATGCTAATTTACTTTCAGATATAATATGAATTTTGAAATGGATCAGACAGCTTCAAAGAATAAAATGAAAGTTTTATTATTCTGCAAAGATCGTTTCAATTTTTAGAATTCATAAGATTATTTGTTGGCTATTCTCAACATTTTATTGCACTTAAATAAAATTAGAAAGTGTAGTGATATTTTCAACGATTTGATAAAAATATTACATTCTGTTTAGAGGAGTGAGAATAAAAAGTGATAAATGATAAGAGATAAAGGAAGGTTAAAGTAAAGTTTAGGTGAGAAAATTTTCCTCTTCTTATGAATCATCGTAAATTATCAAAGTTTTATAATTTGATTTCAATTGTAGGAAAACAATTTGCATAAATTTATTTCCAACAAAATTGAATTAATAGAAAGAAGAAAAAAATTTGTTAAGAGAGAGAGAGAGGAAGGAAAAGAGATTGACGAAAAAGAAGAAGGGAACATAAAAAAGTGTAAATTGAGAAAAGTTTAAATGAAATTACTGTAAAATGGTAAATGATAAATGAACAGGCATCATTTTATAATCTTAGTCTTCTTTTATCACTTCCATAATAAAATTTCATTTTAACATTTTATCACAAAATGCGTCTTTGATAAGAGTTTCACAAAAGGATTAAAATAACACAAAATTTATGCTCAAATTTTTCGAATAAAATTAAGCAAAGAATTGTTGGCTGTTAGTTATTAAAGCATAGATAGCATTGAAAGGTCTTACTAATGATCAAATAGATCAGATCAGAAATTGCTCAATTATTATTTTTCATCAATTCCAATTGTAAATAATCATTATAGAGGAATCTAGTAAATAATTATTAGATATAAATAATTATTATAGAAGGGTCTAATTATTATGGAAGGATTTACCGATAATGTTAGTAGATGGGTAAATAAATATTTGAATATTATACTAAATATTATACCGAAATTATTCTTATCCGGAAATTCTCAAATGATCGTAAATTAAATAATTTTGTGAATTTTAGGAAGGAAAATAGAAAAAGAAACTTAAATTATTCTCTTAAAAAATAGTAAATAATTTGTAGGAAATTTATTAAAAATGTATAAACAATATAGTAATGATTTATTTTACAATTAAAAAAAATTTTATTTTGGAAGGGAAAAAAATAGGAAGGAACTATTTGCACTTCCTGCAGGCCTTAAATTTTGGCATCGATAGGAATATAAATTGAATTGCATTTTAAGAGAAGACATTTATCGATGAATGGAACTTTTTGTCAACAAGTTATTTCCCACTTTCTATTTCACAGATATCGAAAAGAATGTAATGAAATGAAATGTATTCCATAATCACTACGCTAATGAAAAATAAATTATTCTTATATTTAAATTATTCATTAAAATTTTTTTTAGTGTTAATTATAGAATTTGAAAGAAAGAAAAAAAACATACAATAATTAAAATTTATAAAAATTAACTTCAATAATGAATAAATTTTATGGGAAAAAAATTCTCAAACTTTGTTTGTTTGAATATTAAAGATGCTTAAAGACAGTTTCATTCATATATACGAAATGATATTCAAATTTGAAATTTAATATCAATCATTAAACAATTCAAAAATATAAAATGGGTAGAATTGGAAAGGTTAAGAAGAGATAATATTAGAGAAGCTAAAGGAATTAAAAAAGATTCTGAAGGATTCAGATGAATTGAAAGTGAAAGAATTTGATTAAGATGAAGATCTTAAGATCATATAATATCATCAATATTTACAACCTTTCTTGAAAACAGAGCAGCTTGAGGAGTGGAAATCAGTGAATGTGAAAAACAATTCGTTTTTCCGGTATGCAGTTTGTAGCAATTTTGAATAATGTATTTAGGAATGGAAAGTTTAACGTTAAATACCGGTGATATTTCCTGTTAACAGCCGAAGGAAACGGACAATCGATAGGCATGGATGAAATGCATTTTCTCTTCCAAATAAATTATTCGCAAAATCTGCAATTAATAGTAAATATTCTTTGCATGCAAATTTTTTTTATAAATGTACTTTGCAGTTTTTTTATCAGTTAATTAGGACAATTATTAATTAAATATCGAAGATAAAATTACGACAAATGCAGCACGAAGGATAATAATTCAAAAAGCACAATAAAATATAGTGGTGGAAATATAGGAATGCATCATATATTTGAAAGATCGATTTATTTTATTACATAAATGAAATGAAATGAAAAAGAATGAAAGGAAATATTAAATCATCAAAATGATAAATTAATTAATGACTAAAATGACAATATATAATGGTTTAATTGAAACAAAGGAAAAGCTAAACATTTTCTTTTGTTTGACATAAAATAGATAATGGAAAAATTGTTGGCAATTAAGTAAAAAAGTTATTTCCAATTAAAGTTATGGAAGAAATTTTAAAACAAAAAGTTGATTTTATTAAATTAATTAACCAAAGCTAAGTGTGCGTGTGTTTTTACTAAATTAATAATTGAGAAAATTTGGCACATTTCATAAAGGCTGTAAATAAAATTAAAAAAAAAGAATAAAATCGAAATGTCTGAAATTTTGTCAAAAACATATTGAGCACATATAAATATAAAATGGCAAGGAAATATTTTGCTGAAATTGCATTAAATGAATAAATGCATTTTTTATTAGCCAAACGCTTCAAAACATTTCAACAAAATTCATCGAACGAAAGAAATATTTATTTGTTAGAAAGTTTTATAATTAATTAATATTACCTTACAAATAAATTAATTGGAAATTTAGTTGTGAGAAATTATTTCATTCAAAATGATTTCATTTCTAACCAAAAAGTAATATTTTAAGAGTAAGTGAATAAAAAATTTATTCAATTGAAATTATTACTTCAAATTGATAACAACTGGCAATAAGAACAATCAATAAATGGCAATTTATGATTTCTATTATTTCGATTAATTAATATCATATAATATTTTCTTAGGTTAGTTATTCAGAATCCATAAGAATACTCAGTTTTTCTTTCCACAAAGAAATATTTTCAACTATGAAATGATAAAAAATTTCTTTTGAAATTAATTATTTAATTTAATTCAATTCATAGTGTTGTTCTTTTTTCAAAATATATAACAAAATTACTTCTTTCCCGATTTTAGATAATAAATAAATTTGAACGAAATGAATTACCATTATTTGACCTTTCATTGACCATTGCACAAAGAGATCAATGAAGAGGTTTGCAAATATGAATTACCGTATTGTAGCACTACAATATCATCACCTCAACTTTATGTCAATCGAAATCGAAGAAATACTTTAAGTCGGAAAATATCTTAACGAATATTTCATTATTGTTATCGCTAATCTATTTAAATTCAAGTGAATAATATTTACATTATTTAATTCATTAATTTCAAATGAAATGGAAAAGACTATGCACTCTCAAAGCGCTATTACCTACAATGACTATCAGAAGAACCATAATATACGATAAGTAACAGAAGCACCATAATCTATGATGAGCGTCAAAAGCACCATAATCTACAATGAGTATCAGAAGCATGATAATCTACGATAAGCATCAGAAGTATCATCATCTACGATAAGAATCAGAATAATATCTAAATATAGATATTATTGGAAATGTTATTGTCAGAATTGATTCATTCTTCCTATTAATGCTTTATTAATTTTCTAATTTGCTAACAATTTTAAATTTATTCTTGAAAGTTGAAGCTAAAAATTCAGAAATTAGTTCATATCTAACTTATGCCGAAATTTGTCCATAACCAACTTATTAGTTTATATCTAACTTATGCTTAAGTTTATTATTAAAATTGAATGTAAATTTTCTTATTGTAAAAACATTCCAATTTTATATATATATATTTCTGCTAATTAAACTGTAATTAAAAGTGTGAAAAAATCTATTGTATTTTTTTATTAGATTTTTTATTGTTCCATTTTAATTAGACATAAGTTAAATTTGCAGAAAAGTTTTGAATAAATTAAAGAAAGCAGAAAAGAATGAGACAATGAACAATTTTCATAGCAAAAGTTGAAAAGTAAAAAAGAATAAAAGTTTAAAATAGCTAGAGATTAAACAAAAATTTTTATTATTTCGTCGATAAAAAAAAGAGTGAATGAAGCGAAATAGAAAAGTGCCATAGCAGAAGATGGGCCATAAAGATGTTGGCCATAAAAGTGCACTACATAAATAAACAGCCAAAAAATTTTGAGCAAAGAATTTTCAGAAAAAGTCCAAGCTACGCATTTTTCTTTTTTTTTGAATTCGTCAATTCATTATCCATCCATCCTTCCAGCCCTCATTGATGAAGAAATGAAAAATGTCTCATCCTCAGACGGCGATACACAAACGACATATTCAATCTCGTGTTTATCATCGGGAGTAGCAGATGCTATTAGAGATATAGAAAAAGCGGGGAAACAAAAGAAACTGAAAGAGGAAGAAAAAGAAGAAGAGTTAAAATTAGACTTAACCGATCCTTCCACAAAGCTTACATGCAACACGAATATAAATAATGTGACAGAGTAGGATTATTTGCAAACCTATAAAGAAGTAAATGAGAATCCTGTAGATGACATGACACACATAGAAAAGTGTACATATTTTCGTCATTTGAATATGATAAAAATGAGTTGACAATGATGAGAGTGAGTTGACAATGATGAGAATCAGTTGACAATGATGAGAGTGAGTTGACAATGGTGAGACATTTCGAGAATTGGTTTTCAATTAAATAATGTATTTATTTAAATAGAGAATGTAAAAATGACAGATTAATATAGAAGAAAACAAATAGTCAAATATTTATTTGACATCAAATGATGCAATATTGCAATATTTGAGACATTCCATAATTACTCAAACTATTTGTCCATTCATTTTCTTTATTTCAATCTATTTTTACGACTAAAAATTTAAGAATGATAAGTTATAGCTTAACAATGATAAATTATATGGAGAAAAGTTATAACATGACAGACTGTATGCAAATTAATGGCCATAGTTATATCTGTGGTCATCTTGATTGGATCATATCATTAATGTATGAAATTAAAAAATCAAAAATGATGAATGGTATTATTTTAAAATATGCAGAAAATGCAGTAAGAAATGCTACTATTATGAAGATAAACAAAGCAACAAATAAGTTCTCACAATTAAAATGCTAAATATCTAATGAGAAATAAAACATAAAACATAGCTAATAGCATCTACGAACATATGTTCAGTATGATGTGAAATTATCATTAAATGACATCTGCCATATCATATCATATCATATCATATCACTTTTTCGACATTTCTTTCATATAGCACTTTCAAATAATTACATATGTTATTTAGCGTATATTAAATAACACCTTGAAAAGTATTACAACAAAAAATACTTTATTGTAGCTGGGATAATACATATGTATTTATCGTATAGTGCACATTTTCTCATAATCGTAATTTACAATATTAATCACTTTTCTGCATAATTTATTTAAAATCAGTGATAAGACATATTTGGAATGATAAACATACAAAGTTACAGTATGTTGAAAATTGAAGAAAATAATACAATTTTAATCCAATAATAATATCTCACAAATGTGAAATATTCTTCATTTTTTTACACCAACTAGATCAAATATCAATTACTAACTTTACACGTAAAAATACACGTAGAAGTAGACGTGCACTATGTAGACATATACTTAGACATAAATGAATGTACAGATATTTCTACTAATCAATGTTTTCCTTTTAAAAAGTTATCTGTTAAGATGAATGATAAGTGAGTGCATACATACATGTAATCGATGATAATTTCAAAGACTTCTCAATATCTCAAAAATTTCATCAATGATTATGTGAATTTTTGTTATCACATCTTTTTGCATTAATGATAAATAATAAATAAGTCAATAATTATCACTGGATTTTTAATATATGAAATACATACATATATATATATATATATATATTATACAAATAATTAAATAAAAATTTCATCAAATCAAATTATTTTGTTTGAAAAAAGAAAACAATTTTGTTAATTGTGATTCAAATTATTGGAGCATAAATTAAAGAAAATAAGAAATTTTTAATCTAGAAATAGTTTGTAATTAACGAAAACAATTGGTACCTTGAAAAAAGAGTAAAATAGAGAAAATTTTATAAATTCCATAATCCAACATATTCTTTCTCGTTGATCGAATATTTGAATGGATTAATAAATAACTAATTTAGTTTATGACAATATAATTTCCCGAAATTCTATCAACAATCATTATCGCGGAGCAGTACACCCTTATTCAAATGGTTGAAAATGAAGCGGCACTTCAAAATGATACGTTATCAGGCAGTCACTATTCTTTAATTGTAGCGATCGAAGAAGATACGGCTGCTCTGTGACATGAAGTCATGAGAATACAACATAAAAATAACGTAATGATGATGAATACGGTTGATAACGTGTAGAAGAAAATCGAAGTATTAAACTAAGCAAATTTTTACCAATGACAGTTGAAGAATTTCAAATCATTAATCCATTTAGTTGGTATAAATTTAAGTTTCAGAAAATTTCATTTAATTAGTTGATAAGAATTGTGAGTTCGGTCGGTTGAAGTGCAAATGTCAGAGCTGCCGAAAAAACCGGAACCGAAAAAATATGCGAAAAGTAGCGAAGATCCATTTAGTATCGAAAAACCGATAATATCAACAACGAAGACCTCAGATAATGCTCTTTCTGGGAAGTCTGAAATCTCCGAAAAAAGTAGTAAAGATTCATTTGAGACGAAATCGGTAACTGTTATCAACAAAAAATTTCTAATATTTTTCTGTGTTCCCATCCTTCACCGCATAACTCATACCCTTTCTCTAGTCATATCAGTTACATTCTTATCAAACTATCCAAAAGTCTTACAAGTGATAACTATACTTTCTTTACTTTAAGAGTCACCGCTTACCTATCTTTGCAATAATATGGTATTAATTATTAAACAATTTAATAAATTTGAACAGATTTCATTTTTGAACTGTTACAGTACCTAAACTATAATTTATTAGAAAATCCATTCAAATTGTTTATAATCAAATCCATTAAAATTCAATATACTTTTAACAGCATCGATTAACTGAAACAACACAATCCAGCAGAACGCGAGTTATTTCTTTGGAATCCGCAAATGATAAGAAGTATGAGTTTGATGTTGACCTGCTCTACAGCTGGGATCAATCTTCTGGAACAATATCGTATGAAGCCTGGTCTAAAAGTCTTATTGATACTTTTAACGATGCTAAAATGGCTAGTTTATTTTGCTATTTTGAAATATTTACTGAAGATCATTTGTTAGTGTGCAGAAAATCACAGCAATTATTGATGCAAAATTTTTTGTAAACAGCAAATTTACACTAATGCGTTCTCTGTACTGCATTGTTGTATATTTTTAAATTAATATTTGCAAAAACTGGAACGTAATAACTTCAAAATTGACACTGACTTAAATTCATAATAAGATTTTTTAAATTATAATTTATAATAACTTTTAGTTGCCTCAATATAAAGATATCATTTATCATGCAAAATTAAATCAGCGTCTATTGCGTGATTCAACGCCTTCTCAAAAATTGTTAACAGCGAAATCATTGGCAATGCTAAATGAAGCAATGCGACGAGATCGCATGCAAGGACATTTATTCAAAAGAATTGTTATACCACACAAAAAAGATGGAAATCCGGAACGTTACGAATTTATTTCGAAGGTAATTAAAGTAAAAATGATCGGATTGGAAAATGAAATTTGTTCTGTAATTATTTTGATGTAAAACAACTAAAATAAACTTTTATTTTATATATATTTTCTCTTTCGAGATGTGTGATGATGTTATCAGTGAATATATGGCATCAGCTAATCGTGATAATAAATTGTTGGAAATAAATTTGGAATGTGGTGGTAATATGCCACCTCGAATTAAAATTAATGGTATTCGTGCGGAGCGATTACTGAAGTATGACGATGGTGACGAAGAGTGCTATAATATTAACCAAACGGCACAAGTTAGTCTGCTACATTTAACTGTTATATATTAGCAGAAATCTCAAATAACTTGCTAAAAGTTAATATCAAAATAAACGGTGATTTTAGTGAAGAAATTATAGTGGAAAGATATTATGGCTAAAATCAAAATTTATTTCACAATTTCAAAATTAATAACAAAATATTGAAGTTAATCAGTTAATCACTAGCAGATGCACAACGCGAAGCATTTATTCCAACATCGCTCAACATGTTCTCCAGCGCTTCCGTATCCGTCAGCTAATGCATTTGGCAGGTGCTCGATTGAAAATTACGTGAAGATGTTGAAGGAACGCCGGAAGAAAAAAGAACAGCAATAACTTAACCTTTGAACTTTTTAATAGCACTTAATTATGCGTTTTAATAAATATTCGTATATTCATATTTCAATATTTTATCTCAATAGTATCGCTGATTATCTTTTTCATTGACATATTATTGTTTCATACTTTTTTTAAAATTGAATAATAAAGCCATAAATTACGTACGATACACGTAGCCTTCTGATTCAATTTGAAAACTGACTGATGCCATCCTAAGACAATTTGCTTGTTAAATGTAATTCGCTTATTTGTAGAACGGAAATATTAGAGCAAAAATTTGCATATTACATAAATTTTCTAAAGAAGAGAATCAATGGCCGTAATTTCTTTATTGATACTTATTTTATATTTCACGGGCGGTGACGCCTTTACTAATCATTTATCGTTTAATAATCAATTTAAGAGATAATTTGTGGTGTGAGTGACAACAACCTGTGGCACAATTCTGAGTCAGTACTTTTTTTCACTTAAAGATTTTTCAAATAAGTTGAAACGGAAAATAATTGTTTCATTTGAATTAAATCACAATAATTGAGCTAGAAAAAGCAAACTTATATGTTATAATGAATGATCAATTTATGATAAATGATAACTTCAGAATACATTTTATCATTGGAAATCATTTACAGAAACTTTAATTAATGTCAGCACCACTACCACCAAATTATGGTTCCTCAAAATCTGCACGATCTGTAAAAAAATTATCGAAAATTAGCAAAAAATTAGCAATTAAAAAGGAGCGACCTGTACCAATGGGTGATTTACCGCTTGATGCGCCACCGGTTGATTGTCCGCCCATTTATGAAGTATAAAGTTCAAATTCAATTAGTTATATATTACTAAGTAAAAGTATTGGTCATTTCATTGATGATAAAACATTTCTCCAATTTTTAAATCTCTAATTAAAAATTATCTATTCAGAGTTGCTAGTTGAGCTGATCACAAGAAACTCCTATGAATTCATTCCGAAAAACTGATCAGTAAAGAATGATTTGTGAATTTATCGTATTAGTTATCGTATTAGCTTTATGGTTCATATTCATCTTTTAATTCCAGTCTTATCTAATTCTAAAGAATTTCAGATATTTTGCTATTAAAGATTAGATCATCAAATGACAATTACCTATAAGTATTTAAAGTATCCGCGGTATTTGCAATTACTTTACAAAAATGGGAAATATTTCAGTGTCTTGTAACGATGAAACCGTTGAAAAAGCATCGTTTTAGTACCACAAAGCGTTATTTTGGTAGAGTTAACCATGGATTAATGCAATTAATGCCAGAGAAAAGCGCTAAAGCGAATAATGAAGTTATCGGTTCGGAATGTACCATCGATCTAACCGCTGTTTGTAATTTCCTTTATTACCTTTATTTTCTATTTGTTTGTCTTTTACTTTCATAATTACTTTATCAGCTTGATGGCGTTGATAAATAATACTTCCAAATATTATTTTACATTTTAATGAATTGTTGAATTAAAGATGAAATATGCTACAAGTCATTTTATCAACACAAATGAGAAATTCATAACTTTCCTAATTATTATTTTTAGGCAGTAATTTCATGTGACGACTCCAGACGGCGATTAATTTTTAAATTCAAGAAAGAATCACGTGATATTGGACCGGTGAACAAGAATGACTATGATACATTCAAGAAAATGATTCAGAAACATCGTAATTATCGTCAAAGTGCTTATCGTAACAAGTATAACTTTTCAAAAAAAAACACTGAAAATAAAAATCATACAGTATGATCTGCAAGCAGAATCCTGAGGTAATCGCTGATCCTTTTGTATTACTTATCACCTGGTGATAATACCACGATTATACATACTTCAAATTATTGCAAGCCTTACTCTTTCTTCTAAAATCCATTACGAATCGAAATTCACAGTATGAGTAGCCTTAAAGTATGTTCTCTCTAACAGTCTTTCTTGATGATAATGAAATCTTTTCCTGAAAATTTTCAAAGTTTAAAAAAAAAGACTTAATTGTTAAGGAAAGAAGTTACCAATGAATTGATGAATGTGAATTTATATCGGAATAATGATTCATATACGGCAGTTGGACGGTAAGTTCAAATATTTTAATTATATTGCTGCAAAAGGTTTAGAAATCTTATAGTTTACCAGGAGGAGCAGAAAAGTAATTAACATAATGATATTTGAAGAATTGTTACTTACTCAAAAAAAAGGAAAAAACTTTTTCTGATCTTTTATTTTGAGTTACTTTATTTAATTTTAGGATAGTATAGTGAACTTGTAAAATTTCATTAGACAGGAAGAAACTCTCAGTCTTACAGTTCAGTAGTAAATTGAGAATTTTATCCTTAAATAAAAGGTTTGTTAATCCGGAACAAGACAGTGACGTGGGAAAATTACGTGAAAACCTTCGGGGTAATACTATTAATGAATTAAATGAAAAAGTGGTTAAAATTACCAATGATATCAAAGCGATTGCAGTTGAAATGAAGAAAATACGAAAAGAATTAAAGGTACTAAATTTTTTTTTCAACTGTGACATCATTTTGTCACATTGGTTATCATCAAGAATTATTCCTGCTAATTATCAGATTCTTAATGATTAATGATAATTAAGAAAAAAGAAGCAAATATTCTATTGAAATAAATCTTTGAAATGATAAGCGTTTTTTTCTTTTGTTTTAGCAATTAATTAGAACAGTTCAAAGTGGGAAAGAATTAATAGAAAGCAAAGAAGGTAAATTCTTTAAATCTTATTCATTAACTCTTTTCCTATTAAATTCCTTTATAGCAAAATGCAATAAATTGAATTTAATGACAGTTCCTTACTAATTCTTTTCCATATGCGCTCGTATTTATGATTAGCTATAAAAAGTTAACATTTTTAGACATTTAAAAATTTTTCAGACGAGGAAGATTCTGATTCCGATGATTCAGATGAGAAATCAGATGCAACCATCCCTAATAATAATCAAACATTATTTGATGCAATTCAGAAGTATCACAAGTTTTTTTCATATTTTTTATAAACAAGAGAAAAATAAAAGTATCAATTAACTTTGTTTTTGATAGTAAAAGATAAGAAAAAGATTAAAATTGCAACAATAAAATTGATATCAGAAATCACTTTTTGATAGTAAAAGATAAGAAAAAGATTAAGATCAGATAACGAAAGATTGATATCAGAAATGATTTTTTGATAGCAAAAATATAAGAAAAAGATTTTCTAACTTTTTGTTAGCAAAAGATAAGAGAAAGATTAAGATGGCAACGATAAAATTGTTATCAGAAATGAAAGGATATGGAGGTGACACCAATAAATAATTAATTATACCGATACTGCATAAAATATCTCAATGAAACAATGAGAAAAATGTTGCCGTCGTACTGAATTCTCTTAAAGTTTCAATTCTATCAAAACTTTTACTGTTGACTTTTAGTGCTTAAGAAAGGTTGAATGCAAAATTTAAATTCTAAAAAATATAATGAAGTTTAATTGCTTTTTATCTTACATTTCTTTACTGACTGTTTACTGTTTGGCTTTATTTTGAAGGGAAATGACGAAGGAAAAAGTTGTGGAAGACAAGAAAGGTTATTTTACATTATAATTACTCACAAAAAAGTGAATATTTAAGCTGTCACAGATATTTTGCAATAAATTAGTTTTTCAGTCCAATTAAAAAATGCTTTTATTCTGTTGTAATAATAAGATATAATCTTTAATAGCAAGAAATTACAGGAGGAATTAGCACAGTGATAGTATAAGAAGCAATGATAATGATTATATCAAAAAACAATGATGGATAGTTTAGTCTAAAAGAATGATGTCCTGCCCAAAATGTGTTTCTCAATAGCCTAAGATGAAAGATAGCGAAATTTAACATAAGATTTTCTTTCAAGTTTTATTTTAACATTATTATGATTGATAAATGATTAATTTTCAGATATCAAACTGAAGGATAAAAAAATTTTGTTAGTTTAAAAAATTTTGTTAATTCTGTTTGCATAATTTTTAGTTTCACGAGATTTAAATTAAAGCAAATGACCCATGACCCTGTGTTTGATGTTAAAATTATTTTTGTTTCAGACAAAAGGGCAAAATTTGTTTACCTGAAGAAATTGTTGAAAAAAAGGTAATTTATGTTTTGAATTGTAAATAAAGTGGAAAATGTTCTGAAAGATGAAAAGTAATTTCGCATTAAATTTAATAGTAAAAAGTTATATCACCACTATCATCTTTTTAATTCTTATTTGATATCAATTGCAATGTTTTAGGAAGAAAAACTCGAACGTTTACTGGAAGGAGGAGAATTAGAAAAGATGCAACCGCAGAAACGCAGGGATCAGTTACCAAAACCATCGGTAATGGGTGAAGAGTTAGGCCTTCGACAATTGATGGCAATCGTTGCACGACGCTTACCCTTACCAATATCTTTCTTTGAACCTCTTACAACATTACAAGTAAACTTTCACGGCAAAAAGTTTACATTATAATTTCTAATTTTAATTTGATCAAAGTAATTACAGCTTTAAGCAAGATTTCAAGTGTAGATAAAAAGCTAAAAATTTTGCGACAATGAATTTATTTAATTATATCGAACTCATTCACAGAAAAGAAAGATCTTTTATTGCAATGTTTTAATTCGTCTTTTAATTTCTGATTTGCATTGTTTGTACAATTATAATTTCATTAAGATTCGTAATTAGTGAAAAGTAATGAAATACAAAATGCTACAGTATTATATCAAATTCGAGGATTGAAATATTTTAGGTTTTATGCGAAGAATTAAGATATTCGGGACAAACGTTAAATCGAGCTATATTCGCTGATGATCCGGTAGATCGTATTGCTTATGTAACAGCTTTTGCTATAAGTAGCTACTCTGGTATGGTATCCCGGAAACAGAAACCGTTTAATCCATTACTTGGTGAAACATTTGACTTTGTATCGAACGACGGATGGAAGTATCATGCTGAACAGGTTGCTTTATTCCATCACATTGTCAAATGATAGTTGAGATGTTGTTTGCATGTTTTCTAAATTTGACAAGGTAATTTCATTCAAGCTTCCATAGGATCTTAGCCTTGGTCTTTTCTCTCTCTCTCTCTCTCACTCTCTTTCTTGATATGACATAGGATGAGACTGTGTTTTTCATTATTATTCTTTTTTTTTTTAATTAAAAACTCTTCAGGTAAGTCATCATCCATCTATAACTGCTGCTCACGCTGAAGGATTAAATTGGGAATGGTGGCAAACACTAATATCAACACCCAAGACTACCTGGTCCGGTGTTATTGAGGCGACACCGGAATTGCCTGTCCGCATACGGTTGGGTAAAGAGGATTACTGCTGGAATAGAGTATGTTGAAAAAACTGTTTTACTAAAATATTGGGCATTTGCATAACATTCATCTAAAGTAATGAAATTTAAAATGCATATAGGAATCATGATTAAAATTTTCAGGTAAAAGTAATCATAGAGAATGCATCATCAACAGCTGAATACCGGAAACTGAAAATGGATGGTACAATGAATATGAGATGTAGTAATGGCTATACAAGCACAGTGATTTTCCGTAAAGATCGACAGACTGAAGTGTATGGCAGTATAATGGATAATCGCGGTGTTTTAGTTGTTAAACTTAACGGTTATTATGATCGATTTCTGCAGAAGTTAGCATTGTCCTTTAAAAATCATTTTATATTCGTAAAAAGAAATTCGTAAAATTTTTGTTAGATTAGAATTATAAATTCAGAATATAATGCTAAATTAGAATCTCTAGTGAATGCTTCTTCCTCTCAGAAGTTAACTAAGTTATCATAGCATAGAAAATGTATTTGCTTACAGCTTAAAATTAAAATTATTACAATGATCTTGTGCTATTTCATCTAAAATTTTGATAAGAATTACATTCGTAGGAAAACTTTCAATTCGACAAAATATAATAATCATAAATATGAAAGAATTAAAATGAAATTAAAATTCATTAAAAAAACAAAAACAAAATTTTCGCGGCTTTTTTGTTCTAACACAATTTGTTGGCCGTTCTTTTCAAAATTATTATCCTATTTTTGCCTTTTCTCTCATCCAACTTTACCACAGTTGTAACTTTAAGAGAGAAATATTTATATTTTAAAGAATGATCGTCTATTTTGTGCCTATATGGCCAAAATAAATAATTGAGTATAATGGGATAGACAAAGGGTCAGAAGAGGCTTTAATCAGACGTATAAGTTAAGCTCTTCCTCATTTACAACGTAACTTTTACTAACTGGGACAATTTAAGGTCGCTTAATATTTTACAACATATTATTCTTTTCAGAGCAAATCAAAAAGATTACTTATTCGAAGCAATTCCATTACCCAAAAATGCGAACCAATACTATGGATTTTCACAATTTGCATGTGGATTGAATGAATTTTTGAATAATGAGGAGAAATTAAGCGCTCCACAAACTGATAGTCGATTTAGACCGGATTTGAAGGCTCTCGAAAATGCTGACACTTCTCGAGCTGTTGAAGCTAAAGCTAATCTTGAAAAAGTTTTTATTTTTTTCTTAATATGTTTTTTTAAATATCCAGGATATAAATTTAAGCAAACAGCTTATCCGGTCCATTATTAAACTTGTCTTTTTTTAATTCATATTGTTTTATTTACCTATCAGTTGAACTTTTTATGACGAAAAATTTATAAAAAATTCTTATCGGAATCACATTACATTTAGCTGCAACGAGTACGTAATGAAGCAACACATAAACGTATGTGGTTTGAACAGCGACAAGATCTGATGACCAATACAACCTTATGGGTTTGTAACGGCCGATATTGGCAAGCAAAGGAAAAAAAATTCAAGGGTTATTCGGATATGCTCCAATTATTCTGGTAAGTTTGTATCTTTGTTAAATTATTCATATCTAATTTATATCATGCTGCCGATTTCAATGTGAGCAATGATTGTGGAATAAAATCGGAAATATTATTCAAAAGTTAAGATGGAAAAATAAATGGTTTTTGTGATGTAATATCAATTAAAAATTCACCAACAAAGGCATTATCAAAGATAACATATCTGTCTTAAAATAAAATGGCGAATAAAATCACACTATTTAATTAGAATAAGACGTGATTAGGCTGAGAACTATCCCTACTTAAGCTCGTTCCCACTACCTTAGCTAGTCCAGTGCGTCTCTGTCTGGCTGTATCATTTAAAATGGTACAAAGGATGGACGGCACTGCCTCAATAAATGCTAGTGTTCTAATAACAAAGTCGACTGAAAAGGAATTGCCTTAAGCTGAAAGTTATATTAAGGAATTGCACTTACGCAGTTTGATAAACATTCAATTTGCTGCTGAATTATTTCGATATTTCTTTATGTACATCAACTTTTGAAATTTTCTGCACAGTTCAGATCGAGAATTACCAGAATGAAATGACAAAAATGGATCTTATACAATCAACGAAAATGAAAAATGCGAAAGCAGAAAATATACGTTACTGCAATTAGCCATTATATCAGTTATAAAACCAAAAAAAGTTAAAGGACTGAGGGAATGCTTTGAAGTGTGCCACATGTTAAAAAAGCTCATTAATGAGCCAAACCGAGTGAACCTTAACTCATAATAGTAAGCGAACCTTAATCCTTAAGCTATTGTAACGATTAACAATGTTTCATTACTGTTTGCAATGGTTTTTGAGCTATCACTATATCCCGCACGATGCCGTTTACCTTAGGGAAGATTTATCAGTGCCATTTAATATCACCACCAGAGTATGTGATCTCTTCACTATCCGGTAACACAGCAAAGTCATTATTATACGTTGGCGGATTAGGTAAACTCCGCTCCTGAATCTTTCTGGAAATACTTATTTTTCAATTTCATCATTTTATCAATGACAAAACAGCAAAACCAATCTCAATAAGTGAATAAAAAATTTACTGAAAAAATTTTTGTAGATCTAACAGATCGGTCATAAAGCTAAAATAAAACGAATACTATTCCTACAAATATATGCATAAAATTATAATCAGCAAATGTTACTTCGTTAAGTATGGAACATACATGTATCAGAATATACACAGGTACATCAATAATCTGTAAAATGAAGAAAGCATATAAGAGTTACTATAGAAATGACATATGTACCTGAACATCAACCCTACGTATACAGGCAGTGATCCTTAATTAAAAACCCTTATTTTGGATTCACAATGAAGCGCGTTATATTGAATGATTGGACAGTTCACTGTCCTTTGAATCATTCCATTTTGGATAAAATCGATTCTTACCAACATTTATGAAGACGACCTTTTTGGACCCCTCTCCCTATAAAATTTGCCGAAGAATGTAAATGAGGAGCCAAAAATTCCAATAAAAGTTCCCGAAATGAATGTAATGTAAATCGAAGAACAGTAAAAGCGCATAATATTCAAAATGCAAAACTTTCAAAACTATGAACCGATACAATCTAGAAATTAGAAAAAGGAGCAAAATAAATCACAGAATCATTTAAAATCAAAAGCTACGAAATATTACAAGTAAAAATAGGCGGAAAATGGAGAAAACATGACTTTTTTCAAATCAAAAATGTAAATTCATATTCAAGGATATTGTTGAATTTTACAATCAGTTCAACATGCTAAATATCTCACCAAGTCATTGACAGAAGATACGAAAAAATAGTAGGATCGAAAGTACAAGCACACAATAAAAAACCAATCAGCTTTTTTACCGTAATTTTTTAAGATAATTCACCTTAGAATAATGACGCGAATTGATCAGTGAAAATAAAAGCAGAATTTTTAAAAACAGGACAAAAGAACTTACAGCAGTAGAATGCAAATATTTAAGAACAGTCTCTGACTCCTCCAAATAGTGTTCCCTTAAAAATAAGAATAAAAAAGCTGTAATGAATCTTTTTTTTGATTATGATTATGACTTCTACAAAACTATTTATTGATTTAAAAAGCAGACAACAAACAAATTCATATGTCCATATTCAGAAGTTGGAAGTTGATGCTATCATGCGATGAACTATAAGTGCTTTCCTGTGACTCATCGGTTGACGTATTATCATCTCCATCCTGTAAATGTAGTTGTGATAAATTAAAAATGAAATTCACGGAGATCTAGATGTACCTAACTCTTTTTTTCATATGAGTTAGGACCGGAATATGAAAACCAACGGCTATGTGGCATTATAAAAGAACAGAGAAAGCAACTATTACATCTTCTATTTGCCTATCATTGTAAGAAAAGTTATGAGCATAAAAGAACATATATAGCAATTAGAGTTTAAAGGCGTATGGAAAATAGGAAAATAAATTCTTTTTTTATGAAATTTTTTCTCATCGCTTAAAATAAGAAGAGGAACATTTACCTGAAATCCATTACTTTTACCGTCGACAGTTAATTCATGCATGGCTTCTTCAATTTTCTTTTCCAATACTTTCTGTCTTTTAATACCTTTTGGATCTAAATCACTCGACCAACTTCCTAAACCTTCTAGTGATTTTCAAGAGTTATTTTCAAAATGCTATCTTTTGCAGAACAAAATAAATTTATCAGATCAACTTTTACACATAGTATCAACAATTTTGCTATCTAAATTGTATGATCAAAAACAAGATATCTTCTGATAAGTTCTATTTAACATTACAATGTATTATATCTTCATTACCATATAAGCAATTAATTCAAAACATTTACCTCCAATAATTTCTGTCGGTTCACCAACATCAAAACTTCCAAGTGATCCTGTCGCCTCAATTATCACAGGGACTGATTTGGTTATACCACTGCGTAGCCCATCTTCATTTGATCCAGGAGTGATCTGAAATTACCTTTCAGAAACTCAGCAAGTTTTAGACAAAACGAGAAACGCCTGTTATATACTCTATCGCGAAAACGCAAAAAGAAAAAAACTAACAACGCTCACCAAATCAGCACTAGCATGTTCCAACGACTGAATATACGTCCGGAATGAAAACTGTGGTCCCATCCACAATCGTCGATGAGGATCCAAATACGTCAGCACTTCAATCTGAAAAGATGATTAAAATTGCTAACTATTCACGGAATTCAATTGGAGTCGAAAGAAGCTATCTAGCCACATATGTTGTTGCGCTCTGGTAACACCCTTTATTCCCTTCCTTCTCATGCTAATATGAAAGGAGAATTTCGGTGACCTCAGAGTCCACAAATGTATTAGATCAACCTGCCTTATCCATTTCTCATTCACTTCTTCATTTTTCTCTTCATATGCAGCATAAGGAATGAATCGGATACAGCCACATATGTTGTGCTCTGGCAAGACCCTTTGTTTCTTTCCCTCTTATGCTAATATAAAAAGAGAATTTCGATGGCCTCATAGTCCAGCAATGTATTAGTTCAACCTGGCTTATCCATTTCTCATTCACTTCTTCATTTTTCTCTTCATATGCAGCGTGAGGAATGAACCACATCCATAAAGGATTCTGCTCGCAGATAGGTGCTCGGAAGTCTGCTGATAGCTTATTCCTAAAATTTGAATTGAACAGTGAAAAGAAAAACAAGGATATCCATAGCAATTTTTTAAGCATGAGTGCAAGATAAGCACAAAAATGCCTTTGTAAAATCCACTGCGCTACTGCAGTTGGTGTACACTGAATCAGTGTTTCATCAAGATTAGATCGTTGTTGTACAGTTGGACAAAATAATCCACTCGCTCCATGGTGCGGAACAGGTGCGACCGATAACAAATATTCCGTTAAAACACCATCATTGTTGATTATTAGCAGAGAAGTATTCTTCGAATTAGATATAGAATTCGAAGCAAACGAAATCTATAAAAGATCTAGTTAAAAAAATATACATGTTATATGAAATACGACTCTACAGTAAAATGAGTGAAATCAAAATTTACCGCCAAACGATGCTGATCACTGGATTTGCTCGAGGCTTTATAGTACTTCTTTCCTGAACTAAGCGATGCCGGTGTCATATCAGAAGCCCAGGCACTCAGATTATCAGCTGAGTAAAAACGTTGCTGCAATTAAAAATCGATAAAATTCATATCGTAGGAATTTACAATAACAATAGAATGTTTAACAAAGCAGCCATTACTCGAAGGCTGAAACTTGAATAATAAGATGAAATAGAAACTAAGTAAACAACTGACAAGAATCAAAGTACGAGAAAAACCGAAGTTAGAAACAACATGAACCTTGATTCTCACATGTGCTTCCACACCTATCGGATTTGGATAAGGACCGATACGCGGATTGCTTACTGAACGTGCAATGTTGCATCGAGAAACATCGGGATGTTCTCTGTATTTAAACGGAATCATTATTCTAAAAAGTCATCTCACTGGTTTGAAACATAGTTTAGATTATCAGTCAGAAACTCGGGTTACAAACTTACCTGCAAACTTGAGCACCACCAAACTGATGATTTCGCGTTTCTGCTGCTTTCTTTACATGAATGTAACCCATTTCTGGCAAACCCGCGGAGCGATGGAACCTACAAATCCATAAAAGAATATTTTGTTGCAAGCAACGAACCATAACATCGTATGTATTTCAAAATTATAGTAATAATTAATTTCTGTCCAAATTTCACGAAATCCATTTCTTCATCGGGAGTCCTCTGATAAGTGCCAGTGTCACTTCACTTGTATTGTAACATAGTGACATAAACATAAAGGTAACGGCCTTCATTGTCAACAAAGAGAAGTGCAACATTTTTTTGATTCAAAAATTAACTGAATACCTCGATTCTCTGTTAACAATTTCTCCACCATGAGTGCGAACAGTCACTTGACCACCGTATGGACATATACCAAAGATGTGAGTAGTTCCATGATTTGTAGCTAGTGCTAACCAACGATTATCAATAGAAAAACTG